TTGGCCGCTCCCGCAGCCGCGAGCGACGCCGACGTGCCAGGAGCCAATGGGCGCGCGCCTGGGCCAGCCCGTCAGCAGCGCGCCCCGAACCCCGCTGCTCTTTTGAGAACCCGGACCTCCGTGTGCCCGCAGCCCCGAGCCCGACGCCTCCTCCTGGGGGCCCAAGTGGTACCCACTGTAACGAGTGACCGGCACAGGGACGTGGTGGGGGCTGGAGGGGGGGGAGAACAGAGGGGCGCTGGGAAAAGGGAGCCCGAGGGCGGGAAGCGGGGACGTGGTGACGATTCGTTAGTTGTGCCCGTGTTCAGGCGGGGTGGAGGGAGAGTGGAGAGGCCGCGAGGGGCAAGAGGAGCTCGCGGTTCCCCGTGGCCCGCTGCGCGGCCACGCTCGCACGGTTCCCAAGCACGCTTGAGTAGTCCGGAAACACAAGGAACGGGGGAAGGGGGTGCTTGGGGACCCCACGGGGAAGTGTGTGACATTCAGAGCCGAGCTCCGTGTGGACCCGCAGCCTCTGAGCTCTGACACCCCTCCAGGAGCCGGTGCGCTCCAGCTCGGCCTAGACGGGTAGCAGGTCCTGGAGACCAACAGGACTGGTCTCCCTCCCTGACCCCCTGTCGGGGAGGATCCGGCGTGCCGCCGAAATCCCGCTTTGTCTGCAGTCAGAGCCTGTGCTGGAAGAAACGCCTGGCCAAACACTTTCTCCCGAGCCGGGAAAACCCTGCCCGAGGCGTTCTCTCGTGGCGAATGCTGCCAGGGTTTCCTGCGCTCTCAGGCTGCGGTGGAGCTGCGGGAACGGGGTGCCTAGTACCCTGTGCTCCCCCCCCACGCCCTCGCCTCCCTCCAGTTCTTCCATCCCCACTGTGGCAGGCCGCGTGTTTGGAAAGGAAACAGTCACTGCAGATCCGTTTGGGACCCAGAGCGCGACTGTGACGCCGTCTCGTCGGAGGGTATCAACTTGCGTGCTTTTCTTCAGGACGTCTCCAACCTGTCTCTTGTTGAATGTCAGAGTAATGGGAAGCGCCAGTGACAAGACGGCGTATTACTCCTGATTAAGTGCCGTGTCAACCTAATTAGCAGAGTAATTATAAGGTGCTAATGAATGATTCAAAGTTCTTTGAGTTACATTTTACTCCAAATTACCATTTTTAAGAACCTTATGAATCTGCATGGTTGGCATCGTTTCCGTGACTCGGTGTAAAATGATCCAGGAAAGGACAGGGTTTAGATGCAGCTCTGTTTTCTCTCTCTCTCTCTCTCTCTCTCTCTCTCTCTCTCTCTCTCTCTCTCTCTCTCTC